GGACAGCGGGTCTGGCTCATCCCTCTTAAGGCAACTGAATGTATGAGACCTCCTTGACTCCTCCACAGCTAATCTACTGCTCCAGGACCCATAGCAGATAGAAGGAAGAGGAGACTCATTTATATTATATGATTCATGGGGGACACTCAGGGTTTGTTCTCTCTATGAAAATAAAAAAATCTTGCAGAGATGAAAAATACTGCTACAAAACTGAGCTGTTTGCTCAACTCAAATTAAAGGGAAGAGAACAATATTATTTGGCCAAATTTTATCTATACTGCCAAAGAAGGCACCAGATTATACTCTCAAAATAGCCACCAAGTGAAATAACACATTTCTAAAAATATTTATAGACCCTGCAAAGACATAAAATAACAGCTAGAGTTGGAAAATCTCCAATCCTCTCAAATCCCAGGTTTTGTATGAATAGTTGGCTCGCTGTCCTTCATTGTACTTTCAACATTAAGGCAAAGTACGGCCCATCCCCACACCCACATAAAGTGAAAGTTCATTAGCTTCTTACGGTTACTTCAAGAGTCAAAAAGACTCGAGAAATATCTACACAAGGTCTGCAATATATGGCAGTGAATAGTTATTTGGTCCCATATGACTGTTTACCGAGTACAATCAGATTATATTTTACTGTATTCTTTATTTGTAAGAGAATGGTAAATGGAGTGTACTTATATAGCTGCTTTCTATCTTATTAAGATACTCAAAGTGCTTTACACTAATCTGTGTCATTTACCCATTCATACAGCACTCTAGATCTCTACAAAGAATAGTCAGTGCTTTATCACATTTATACAAAGATGGGCCACACATGGGAGGCAATGAGGGGTTCAGTGTCTTATCCAGGGACACTTCAGCATGTGACTGCTGGTGGAATTGAACCACCAACTCTTGCATTGGAGGCCGACTGCTCTAACCACTCAGCCACAGCTGGCCTAGTAAAGAACAAAAGCAATGATTTAACAGGTCAAAGTGCAGTTTTAGCGTGGCATATCTTACTATCCAAACTACCTGCACACTACCTTACAATGCACAAATCTTTGTGTGTATACAATGAACAGAAAGGCTGCAAGCAGCACAGAGACAACACGGGTTAGGCTGCTTGAACCTGATCAGTCACTCTGTCAGCCAGAACAGTGTTTACCAATGCCAGCTAATGCCCTTAGCTTCAATGGCTGGTGAAAACAAAACTGCACGCCTCAGACAAAAAGCCCACTGTGAAAACATTTTTACTCCTCCATGGAAGTTTTTGTACAGAATCTCACATCAATGCCATCAACCAAATCACATACACTTTGTTTGGACAAGTCATGGATCAGGGTACATGACATTTATGAAGAGTTGATGTAATCACAACTTCTCAAAAAGAACTGACGGTGATCCTCATGTTGAAAGTAGAAACATGTTACATCTGCCTTAACAGACAACAACGTACAGAGCCCGCCAGGAGCACAGTGTCTTAAGACTCTGTTCCTTTCTCTCAGGAGCATAGGTTTGAAATAACACTGGTGTTTATGAATAGCAGGTGATGGGATTAGCTTTGTTTTCAGTGTGGACAAAGAAACAAACGTAAACCAAATCAGGAGTGAGAGGAGGAATTAGTGATTACCTGCAAACTACAACACCAGGCTAAAATATTCATTAAGTCAAAGTCAAGTCAAAGTCACTTTAATGTCAAGAGTGGTGGGTAAAATCTACAGTTTTAAATGCATTTCATTGCAGACATGGAGGATTCAGTATCAATTTTCAAATGTCAAAAATTGGATTTGTTCATGTATATCCGTGCTGCCACTTCAAGATAGTCAGCAGTGAAGTTGCTGCGCTGTGCCATTTGTCCCCGTAGCGTTACCGTAGCTTTCTACAGTAAAATCATGTTGAAATAAAATTGAATTTTCAAGTTTTTCATCTTCTGTTTGCTGAAATCTGAGGAATCCCTCCATCCATCCATTATCTACACCCACTTCTTCCTTTTCGGGTCGTGGGAGTCACTGGTGCCCATATTCAGCAGTCACTGTGCGAGAGGTGGGGGACACCCTGGACAGGTCTCCAGTCCATCACAGGGACACGTAGAGCCAAACAAGACAAACAATCATTCACTCTCTCACTCACACCTAGGGACAATTTAGAGTTACCGATCAGCCTAACATGCATGTTTTTGTTCTGTGGGAGTAAACCGGAGTACCCAAGAGAAAACACACGCATGCACAGAAAGAACATGCAAACTCCACCCAAAAAGGTCCCAGGACTGGATATGAACCGGTGACCTTCAAGCTCAGAGGCAACAGTTCTACCAACTGAGCCACTGTGCCCCTGCCATATATTCCGAGAAATATATGTGCAAATAATAGTTAAAATGATCATAACATGATTGTCTTTAACAACACGATGCTAATAACATCAGCGTATCTATGGCATTTTGAATGTTCAGTTAGCGTCCATGCTAATTGTAAATCAGCAGCTTTGTTGTCATTTGTTTTCCCGCTGGAGCCTACCTCCAGCAGTCACTGCACGAGGTGGGGACACCCTGGACAAGTAACAAGTCCATCACAGGGCCACATAGGGACAAACGAGAGACAGCCATTCACACTCTCACCTACACCCAATGACAAATAGTTTACCCATGAACCTGACATGCAAGCTTTTGGTCTGTGAGAGGAAAAAAAAAAGAACGTGCACAGGGATAACATCGCAAACACCACAGAATGGCTGGGAAGCAAACCTACAGTCGTTTTGCTGTGAGGCGACAGTGCTAACCACTGCTCCCTTAATATCATTCCAACTGTTAAATTAGAAAATTTATTTACTAGTATGACTCGTTTGGATTAAAATTAGGCTGTAGTGTATTGTCTACCTCTTTGTTACTGAAGATGTGATGAGTGAAATTTTACAATTTAAGGGTGTGTTAAGAAGCTAACAATGAATTTGTCCAACTTTTCAAATTCAATGAATTAAAATAATGATCAAAAGCTTGCTCTGAAACAAATTAACTGGTTTCTTTTAGCAGATCAGCCATGGATTAACTAAATTAAGAGGACAGCTTGTAAATCCATGTGCATGGTTTCTAAACTTGGGGAGTGGATCCTTACAACCTCTAATTTTATTTCAACACATGGCTCCAGGCAGACTCTGTAATAGTGTAATAAGCAGCACACAGTTCTGACTGTGGAGAGGTGATTTGGACCATGTGTACGACAGAAAGGTTTAGTTCAATACCACAAACAAAATCATTATTAATTATTAACTGAGGGAGGTTAAACACAAAATGAAATCTTAGTTAGTCAAGTTGCATATTAACATATATCCAGTATTTACATCCCAAGCATTAACCAGACACTGCTTAATCATCATTTACCACAAAAATATACAGCGGAAACTGTGCATAACTTGTATTCAGATGCAGATTGTATTTCATAAAAAACATTATTCAAAACATTACTACTATCATGCAAAATGTATTCAAATGAAGTCAACTTGATATGACCAAAACTATGAACAGCAGGTTTTTAAAGTTATTGTCTTACCTGGTATAATCTCCTTTCGCCTCCTGAAAAACACGAGGAAATCGTTAAGGATAGTACTTGTTTACATTTTAGCTATAAGAAAAAGCTTTACAAAAAGTAGTGTTAAACAGGTAACAATCAGTATCTACCATGTATTACATTCCGCTCATATTTAAAAACACAAGTTTATTTTACAGGTAAGGTACGTTTCTTTAACCGACTGAAAACACCCACAAGAGACAAATGTTTAAAATGTTTTGTCCTCTCATGGGTCTACAGCCAAATAGGCTGCGACAAACTCGTTCTTACCTGCAATGCGAAAGCGGCTAACTTGAAAACATTTTCACTCTCCACTTCGATAGTTTCCTGTTGTAAAAAAAAGAGGCAAAATTGGCAGGAGGTTTATTAAAAAAAAAAACACGCTTCAGTGCTGCCCTATCTGAAACACTTGCCTCGACAGCAGGCACCCTCCCGTCCCATACTTCGACACCGTACTCCGGTCCCACTGTTACCGAATGAACCACTACCGTAGAAACATTACCGTAATAAATCTCTCTATAGAAGGTAGTTAACACGTTTATATGCACCCAGTAATCGCGAAACTTTCTTTAAAAAAAGTAAAACCAGCCAATAGTATAGACAAATACTAGTTTAAGATCCTGTTTGAAGTTTGACCCCCTTCGGCAAAAGTGGTACGCTCCAAAGCAGGTTCAACAGTCTCCGTCTCCCATGGTGACCAGCCTGCACTCCCCGCGAAAAAAAAAAAAAAAAAAAAAAAAAAAAACTGCACCGCCTGCAACGTTTGATCCCATGCTGCCTTCACGTAGCCTCGTAAAATTGCACGTTCCCTTGTTTTCTTGGTAACATCGAGACGTTCACTTTTAAAACCACACATGAATTATGGTATTTTCGTTTTTACGAGAACTTCTCACGGTTTAGTAATATTACAGTACAGTACAACCCTAAGACTTTATATTTCACAATGAACGATTTGTATATTTGTATAATAAGCACAATCTTTTTTACTTTTTCTGTATATATATATATATATATATATACACTCCCCTCAACCAGGCAAATAAACTACCAATACACCTCAAGAATGGTAAATCATAAATAGTGACATAAGGCATATCACTTAAAATAAGAAGTTTGACTTCACAATTCTTAAAATAAATTATTGATTACAGTAAAATCAAGGGTGAGAGATCAACTCGAACACTTACATTAAACACTAAAGATTTAGCGTTTAAGAAGAAGAGCTCCACTGTTGTATTTTCTTTCAAGAAGGTGATCTTCTCAACATAAAACCTGTCAGAGATCGTTTAAGGTCAGTAAGATTAACCAGAAACTGAATATCAAAGCATTTGCAAGTGTTCAGCATTAACTACAGATAATATATCATCTTGTCAAGTGTGGAAACATTGTTTTGAGTCAAACAGGAACACATTTTTGTGCTCCATCGCTGCCGCCTGCTGGTTGGGAAATGTTATGGATCTTGACCATGACAGATCAACATGTTCAGTCTTTTAGATGTAAAACAGAAGATGCTGGATGATTTATGTTCTGGATTTGGCAAGCTTTTCCTAAAACAACACTCACCTCACAAGGAACTTGAGTTCCAGTTGCCCTGATGTCTTGGAGAAGTCATGATCAAGGACTTTACGTTCCAGCTGCAGCCAGTTATTCTGGCCGCTGAATAAGAATAAAAAAAAATTAAAAAATCATATATTTGCAATATTGCCATCTTAATATGCCTCTTATTATCTTATTAAAGGATGATTAAACAATTGTTAAAATTCTACGGGTATGAGAAAACGGACTTACTTGTTATCTTTGAAGCACAGTCCAAAATAGTCTTTCTCCTTCAGGTTAAAATGCGAGGCCACCAAATCAAGCAGTTCACGGGACAAAAGCTTTGGCTGGAGAGTTCAGGATGAGACACAACAGCACGGTTTACATCATTTATACGAAAACTCAAATGGAATAACTGTGTAAATGGAAATTGAGAATTAATAAAACTCAAAAGCACAAAATATTTTTTTCTAAAAAAATAAAATAAAATAAAGCAAGCTACCTGAACCAGCAGCTCCAGCTTTCTGCCATCAAGGAGAAGAACCTGCGACAGACGACCTTCTGTCATCTACGGAGACCAAAGAAGGAAGAAACAGGTCAAGACAGCTCCTGCAAAACAACTCTTCACCTCCTCCTGCATATTTTGAAAGGCCAAGCATTCCTTGAAGAAATGCATATCCCCCGACACTTTTCAGCTTAAAGTTTCAGATGATCATGTTTTGATCAGAATTTTTTTTCATTCAACCTTTAGTTATACAGGTTAGTCTCACTGAGCCACGAGGACTCATTTTCAAGAAAGACCTGTTTTAAACAAAAACCACAGATGAAGTACACACAGCAATAAACAGTCATATAAAAGCATATAAAATGAAAAGTAGGTAAAAGTAGTGATATAAAACAAAATAAAAACAAGCTACTTTATGAAATCAGGTAAAATACTAAAATCAGAATGTCTGCATTGATTTTTGCATCAAACTTAACAATTGTTTACAATTTCTTAGAGAAATTAAAATTGACAGCTTCAGATCTTTCTGCAACGTGTTCCAGGTTACAGGAGCAGAGTAAAGGCCCCCCACATACTTGTGCGTACTTCACTCCGCTGAGGTCCGTGCGTACTCGAGGTGGATTCAACGCGGACTCGAAGCGGCTGTCAACCAGCAATGTCTGCGCAAAAATGAATTTTTATGACCGCATACGTGTGCGTACTCTGTGTCGCACAATAAACTGCCCAGTGAGAAACGGTGTTCACATCAAACTGTTTTGTATGCGATACCAACCGTTCTCATATAACGGCTTTCAGAGAGCAAGAAATTCGTGGGAGGAAATAGCTCAGACCCTGGGTAAGGACGAGGCAGCCTCACTGCACTGGTTACCGGTTCACTTTCGAATCCAGTTCAAAATACTCATGTATGTCTACAAATCACTGAACAGTGTCACCCCCCCACCCCCATCTCTCTGATTTGCTACAACTGTATGTCCCACCACGCTCCCTGAGGTCAGCGGACCAGTTGCTCCTCACAGTTCCAGGAACTCGTCTTAAGCTCAGAAGTGACAGGGCCTTCTCTGTAGCAGGACCAAGACTCTGGAACGAGTTACCTCTGTTTGTCAGACAGCCCCCTCCCTCTCGGTTTTCAAGTCCCGTTTAAAAACTCACTACTATTCAGTAGCTTTCAACACAAGATGATCTGTGTTTTGATCCTGTATGCTCCACGCTGGCTTGTCGTCATTATCTGCATCGTTTTTTGTCTATATTCTGATTTACCTCATTTTGTATTTTGCTTTGTGTGTTACCTGTTGTTCTGTCTGTACAGCACTTTGGTTGGCTTTGTAGCTGTTTTAAGTGCTTTATAAATAAAGTGGTATGGTATGGTACCTCAGGGACAGATTTGTTAAGGCAAGAAAGAAGATGAGAGCAAAATGTGAGGATGGGGCAAAGGGAGGTGTCTCACCTAATTTTTCTATGCTGTCTTGGCTGGATACCTTTGTAAAATGCTGGAAGACAGAGACAATCTGTACGCTCGAGTAAAGTCTCAACCGTACATACAGTACACCAGAGTATGTGGGGACCTTAAGAGAATGCCCATGCTGTAACTGCACTGACGACGTGGCATGTAGGAGGAGACATACGAAGGCAGCAGACCAAGGAGTGATTTAAAGATGAAACTGTACCAGTGTGAGAGAGTGCATGAAGCTAATGATGACCCACTGACCAATAAATACAGAGTGTAGTGATGTGTACAATAGTTACAGAAAGTTATGAATCTTTGCACACCATGATAGGCAGCATCCAATATCTGCAAGGTACAGGCAAGGGCATTCCTATAAATAATGTTAGCATAGTCAATGGCCGGTAGGAAATTAGCAGATACAAGGCATTTCCTAGCATTCAAAGTTAAGCAAGATCGATTTCTGAAAAAGAAACCCAGTTTTAATTTCAGTTTCTTTATCAAGTTTTTGACGTGCAGCTTAAAAGAGGGATGTGCATCGGCCAAGATTCCCAAGTTGTAAGAATCCACAAAACTCAAAAGGAACACTATTTGTAGATAAAATAGAAGGAAGGACTGCTGATACCGACTTCTTGTTTGAAAACAACATTCCTTTGGTTTTATCAGCATTTAGCTCCAGCTTGAGATGGAACAAATCTGACAGGATGATGTCGAATGCAGACTGTAAAAGCTGGAAAACCTTAGCAACTGTTTTAGCACAGCAATAAACAAATGTATTGTTGGCATAGAAATGCAAGGATGCGTTAGGAATGTTCTGACCTACATTACTTTTGTAGATTGTAAAAAGAGTGGTCCTAAGACTGAGCCTTGTGGTACACCATTATTGATAAATGATGAAATGATGGCGCGTTAGTCATTTTAGTCAAACCTTAGTGCTCATATGATGCACCGTACAGTATGAGATGTATTTGCTCAAAAATTGTGTTAAGAATGGCTCTCATCTACTACCACACAAGATTCTAGCTAAATATCAATAAAATTGACTGTGCAGTGTTGATTAATTTCAGTTAGCTGTGGCAGCCATATTGAGGTGAGTTGACTCCAATTGTAGATGGATATCCAATAATTATACAGTGCTCCTAGAGTTAGCATTCATGCTTGAGTATCACACTATCAGAGCCAAGGACAATATTGATTTTCATAGAAACCTAACATAATTCTGGTGTTTTATTTAAAACTGTGAGCCGTCAACAATTCTGCACCCAAGAAAGGAGACTTGTCTTCAAGTGAAAAGGAGATGTTTGAGGTAATTACTGCAGGAAATGACCAAGAGGCCTCCAGGCTGCTGGGCTGTAAGATGTTCGAGTTAACTGTCTGGATAAGGTAAATTTATAGAAATAAATATGCTAATAACTTTTCACGCTTCTTGAACTTTCTACTTAAATATAGTTTGGGAAAATAAGGTTGAACTTGTGTTTTTTAAAACATGTCCGTCCTACTTTATTTACTGTTTAGTATTTCACATTTTAACAGTATGCTTTTGCATTTGTAATTAAACTAATGCTAAAATAAATTAACAGCTACCACTGTGGTAGCTCAATGTTGTGGTTTTGTAATCCTGAGGTTGCGGGTTTGAGCCCAGGTTGCATCAGGAAGGGCATCTGGCACAATACAACTGCCAAATCTTTCACAAGAGTTCACTTGCTGTGACCCCTGAAGAAGGGAGCAGCAAAAAAACCTAACTTTTTGGGGGGGCGCAGAGAGTATAAAAGGGAGCCTGTGATCGGAAGGTCGTCGGTTCAAGCCCCCGGACCGACAACATCAAAAGTATGGGTGGGAATGGTGAAGCACCCACACCTGTCTCCACCCTCCTTTGCCCCACTCTGGGCCCATGAGTATGCCCTTAACCCCCACCACCTGCTCCCCCAGGCGCCCTAGTTGGCAGCTCTCTGCTCCACACAGAGGGCTGTGGTAGCTTGGTGGTCTGTGGTTGTGTCAGGAAGGACATCCGGTGTAAAAACATTTTTTGTCAAGTCTTTGTGCGACTTAGTTTGCTGTGGCGACCCCTGAGGAAAGGAGCAGCCGAAAGAAGATGCCATGAGAGTTTCATTAAAATCCATCCGGTGGTTCATAAGATTTTTTGTTAAATGGCAGCCCTTCAATAATTCTTTGCAAAGTTTTAAATACAGTTCTTGTGCGATATGAGAGTTCCCAGAATGTGTTGGGAATGACTCTCAGCTACAAATGTTTGCTCAATATGTGTAAAGTTGACTGGATTATAAGTATTCTAGTGGTAGCCAAGTTTGCTATGCTGTAGCAGCCATCTTGAATGGAGCTGACTCCAAAAGTTAAGACCAGTGTAAAAATACACTAAATATTGTCTTTATAAATGTTTCATTACCATCTATCCAAGAGTTCATGAGACATTTTTCTAACACAACACACGACTACACGCCGAAAAAGAACATTCCTTTCACTTTTGCTGTGTGTGATAAAAAACACAAGGTAAGCCATTCATAAATTAGCCACACTCCAAAAGCTCAAATTTGTTGCAAGATTCTTCTATGCAATTAAAAACAAAATAATCTTCCCCCAGTGGGATCATATTCTGACAAATGTTCCTATCATCCAGGTCTTTCCTCTGCAACAGGAAGACTGCACAAGTACAATTCCACAAAACATTGTCATCACACAGTTCCTCTCTTGTGAAGAAACAAAACTAAAAGACAAGTCCGGCTTCAGTGAATTCCTCTTCTATATATAATGACTTCAAGCTTAGATTAGATTAGATAAAACTTTATTGATTTCTTGGGAAGATTCCTTCAGGGAAATTAAAATTCCAGCTGCTTTGTAAAAGGTGATAGAAATAAAAAGACAGTAGCAGCACACAGTGTCAAAAAGTGACAGCAAGTATAAATAATGCAAATTAAAATAAATCAAATAATATACACACATACAGATTTAAGTAAGTAAAGTAAACAAGTAACTTAAGTAAAAAATACTATATAATCAGTTACTGGCTATTTTAAGGTGGTGGCGGCTGCTCCTTCCCATCCTCTGTCCTCATGTCCCCCACCCCCACCGAGGAGCTGTACAGTCCGATGGCACGATTTTCAGTCTGCTATTTTTGAACTTTGGAAGGAGCAGTCTGTTACTGAACAGGCTCCTCTGGTTGCTGATGATGGTGTGCAGAAAGTGACTGGTATCATCCATAATATCCAGCAGTTTATCCAGAGTTCTCTTCTCTGCCACGTCACCATTGAGTCCAGCTTCAAGCCGACCACAGAGATAGCCCACCTGATCAGTTTGTCCAGCCTTGATGTATCCTCCTTGGACTTGCTGCCCCCGCAGCATACCGTGGTGTAGAAAATAACAGTCAACCACAGACTGGCAGAACATCCATTTGAGTTTCCTGCAGATGTTAAAAGATCACAGCTTCCTCAGGAAGTACAACCTGCTCTGACCCTTCCTGTACAGATGGTTGGTGTGTGTTGTCTAATTCAATTTGTTGTCTAGCTGCAGTCTAAAGTACAAAGTACTTGTAAGATTCTATAGCCTCCACCTCAGCCTCATCAATCAGAACTGGTCTTGGCCTTGGTCTGGGCTTCCCAATGCCAGTAACCAGCTCCTTTGTCTTGGAGGTGTTGAGCTGTATGGTTAGTGTAGCACCAGAAAGCAAAGACCCTCACCAGGCTCCTACACTCCTCCTCTCTGTTATCCCTGATACATTTTATTATTTATTATTAATCTTTATTTAACCAGGCAAATCCCATTGAGATCACAGATCTATTTTGCAAGGGAGGCCTGAAGGCAGACTAACATGCATGTCTTTTGGATTACGGGAGGAAACCGGAGTACCTGGAAGAAACCTACGTAAACACGAGGAGAAAATGCAAATTCCACACAGAAACCCCAGGTCCAACCGGGGATTGAACCCAGGAACTTTTTGCTGTGAGGCAACAGTGCTAACCACTGAGCCGTCGTGCTGCCACATGCATACATCCAACGATGGCTGTGTCATCTGTGAACTTCTAGATGTGACACAACTCAGAGTTGTAGCAAAAGACTGAGGTGTACAGGGTGAAGAGAAGAGGGGTCAACACTCTGCCCTGGGGTGCTCCGATGCTGCTGAGCACAGCGTCAGACATAACATCTTTCAGCCTGACATACTGTGGACTGTCAGTGAGGTAGCTGGAGATCCAAGCGACCATACAGGGT